TACGAATCCTCCCGAGATCATATTGTTTGATCTCCTTTTTTGTCGACGAATAGAAGAAGAGAGTTTCATTAGTTCTATACGTTTTACGTTATTCCCATATGAATTCATACATGCAACTAGGTATTTACTTATTTTGCTATTTAAAAATTATTCATTAAAATGTTATTATGTTATAAATAATTGCAGTCATTTTAGAATCATCGATTAGAATTTAGAATTTTGTAAAAATATTTACAATTTAATTCATTGAATAATTGATTATAATGCAGTCATTTTATATCAGGTATTTTATTTTGTTTGCAATAAAAAAAAAAAAAAAAAGAATAAGAGAGGAAAATAGAGCAAGTTATACGTTAGAAAATTAATCAAGAAGATTCTCTTTCGAGAAATCGTTCCGTTCCGTTCTGTTCGAGATATCGAAAAGAAGGTACGGTTCAAAGGATTTTACGGTTGTTCGAATTCAACTTACAATTAGACCGATGCTTCCTTTCATCGTTGAGCAAAATTCACAAAGCGGAATCGCGCTAGACCGAGTTCGCATCGAGAGTTACCAATAGAAAAAAAAGAGAAGGAAAATTGAAAGGAAGAGAGAGAGAGAGAGAGAGAGAGAGTGAGAGAGAGAAAGGAAAAGGAAAGTTTGGCACGTAACTTTCTTCTTCCTTCCTTCCTCTTTCTTTTCCTTTTTCTTCTTTCTTTTTCTTTTCTAAGGGATTTTCGTGGTTTGACCAAATCCTCTCGTTGATTTGCCAGACAGCGTGACGCCGTTTCCAGGTGTTAATAATCCAGCCCTAATTGTCCCTGCTCGTTGAGGATAATTCCTATTAAACGACGACTAAATACTTGTTTGTACACAACCCCTGCTGTGTAACCTAAGGACAAACTTTTACACTTACGTTTCCTTTCAACCATAGGACGATGGACTTCCTGCTGATTTTTAGAGAAAAAAAACAGCTTCTGGGAATTGTCGTTTTCTAAGGGTTCTCTAACTTCCTGACCACAAATTCTTTTTCTATTTTCACGATAAAGATCATATTTTTATTGGGATTATTCATGTTTAACGCGATTACTAATTCATTTTATTTTTTTACTCCAATTTTCTTTTTTATTTATTTATTTATTATTTTTTTTTTTTTTTTGACGAGACAAATTTTTCTCTCGATGATATTTTGATAATTCATTTTTAATAAATAAATTCACTTACAATCGTTTAAGCCAATTTTCTGTCGTTATTCCAACAAATTTGAAAATAAATTCAAATGAAAATTACATCCTTGTTAAAAGTTTATTCTCTTCCAAGTATAACGATGATACACCACCAATGATCAATTCTGATAACCAGTCATAAATTCACCTAATCTTTCAATCTTCCTATTTCTATTATATTATATATAATATCTATTTTATTTCTCTATCACTGTGAACGTAATCAAGAATCAAACTAACAAAATCTCTAATAAAATCGGATAACGGATAAAAATCGAACGTATACCCGAATACGCATATCGCGTTAATTGATAAGATTCATTCGTTAGGATAACTAAAAAAAAAAAAGGGAAAATGTAGAAAAATCGATTCGAAGAGATCGTCGTTAGGTTGAGTTGGTTGGGTAGTGGTAGTAGTAGGTAGTAGTAGGTAGCAAATAGTAGATAGTATGGTATACGTTGTGCTGACCTCTGGAAAAGAGGAATCTCTCTCATTGACACGTAGTAGCTCGTGCGATGGTCTGTAGAGGGTGCGCTGTAACGAGCGACACCCATTTGATAAGAGACAGATCGCGAGGGATGGGAGTGGATGAGCTCGGATTTAATGGATATAGAGGACAGATTCTGGAGATACATCAGAAGGTCCCTACGATATCTTTTGCAAATATCAGCAGAGAAGCACGTCATCCCTCTCTTTCCTCTGACCCTCGACGTATCAACCACCCTCTTGTCCTATCTTTCTCTCACTTTCGTGATACATCTCATTGGCTTGTTCGGTCACACAGAGAGATCGCATCGTATCTAATGGTAGATGATACGTCTCGTTCGCTTTGTCTGCTTTTCGTCTTGACTATACATATGTTATATGTAGATAGGTAGTACCATGTGATTCACTTTTCAAACGGTGTCAGCATATTCCACAATTTTATAAATAGAAAAATAGAAAATTGTAACACGGGCTTGGAAATGGTTTAGATAATAATGTTAGAATAATTTTGTTTAATTGAGTTTAACACGCACTACTACTACTTCGATCATTTTTATATAATATATAAATTTTATATTTTTAATTTTAATAAAAATAAACAACTAAAGATAAAAAAATATGTTAGAAAAAGCTACATACCAATTGATATACCTACGCCAATTTTCAACCCTTCCCCTCCCTACTTCTTCAAGAAGAAAAAAATCGAGCCGACTAGAGCAATAGACACGATGTGTTTTAAGGGTCCTTTCATTCTCCCTTATCGCAAGATGAAGTATCGATTTTGAGCCGATGACGATACAGCGATGATGTTCCCGAGAGATTATTCGTTTTACCCCCTTCTCTCTTAATTATCTTTTATATGTGTATTCTCCTCTTGTCTCCCCCCATCCCTCCCTTTTTCTTTGTCACGATCGATATATATATATTTTATTATATATGACCCATAGAGAATATCGATACGAATAATAATTTCATTTGACTCATACTCGCACGCAATACTCGAATACTCAATCGGAATATAAATCGAACGATAACTAAATGATTTCTTTTATTTCGTTCGCGTGTAAATTTGAATCCCTTTTCACCACCCTTGTCTCTACCCCTACCTACCTCATGCTTCTACATATTCTCAATGATATAATACATAAGTATATATACATAGAAGAGGCAAATTTGTTAGGTATTATATAATATTTGCTTTAGAGTTTCACGATCGAATCTATTATTGATTTAACTGCAAAGGAATTACTCAAACTGGTTGGTAAACGTTTGCAATATGTGTTTTTCAATAGACATCGGGATGATTAATATATTATAGAAAATAATAATAAATTGGGAAGTGAAATTTTCTTTTTTTTTTTTTTAGGTTCTGTCGATATCATTAAAATTTTATTGCATTGGATATATTCATATTTACAACAAGGGAACACATACAATATGCATTTTCATCTACACTCTATCGATTATCTACATATATTATTTCTTTTTCGTGTAGCTTTTATTTTATTTTATTTTATTTTATTATTTTTCTGTTGAATTATTCTTCTTCATTCTCCTTTTTTTTTTTTTTGGTGATTTTTATTGTTTTTTTTTTCTTTTCTTTCCTTCATCATCATCATCATCATCATTATCATTTTTAAATTTAATTAATTTATCCTCGTACTTGACGATATCTTACGATATTCATCTAATTCGTAATTATATAAACGCCGTTACATACATTCACTTTTTGATCTGACCACTTTCTAATTGTAAGTTTAACACAAATTTGTATCATCATTTAAATAATCAAAATGTAATGGAAAATAGTAAATAGTAAGAGGAATATAAACGAATTAGACGAAGTTATTACACATCGTTTACTTTGAATATGATGTTTTTTTCTTTTTTATTATATAATTACGTATGTGTTTATGTATTTATTTATGTACGTATGTGTGTGTGTGTGTATATGTATGTAATATCGGAAGACGTAAATAAAAATGCATAAATAGGGAGAATTAGGTACACGATCTCGTTGTAATCATAATAATACTCTTTTTTTCTTTCTCTTTTTCTTTCTGTCTTTTTCTTTTTCTTTTTTTTCGTCTTGATTCTATTGCAAAGCCAGTTTGTAATTTTGTAATTACATTGGCCTAAACGATCGCGACGTAATTCTACGATGAATGATTACAACGATCGATATAATTAAAGGATCATTCAACATTTCATTAGCTATCTACGAATCGACTTAAAAACTACTATCACACCGAGTTTATACAGTTTTCTGGTTTTTTTTTTTCTTTTCTTTTTTGTTAATATCTTTCTAAATGATATTATATCATAACTAGGATTTTTTTTTCTCGCGTATGCTCGTTTAAACGTTTTATTTTTTATATTTGTAAATCCTGTCCTTGAGATCCATACGATGTTTGATTTCAATTAATCGAACGATCATTTTTTAAAATCATGTGTCACAGACGATGTTACTAATTATAAGTATTTAATTACAAATTTACGTAATCATAATTGATTTGATATCTTTTTTTTTATATTCTCACTTTCTCACTCTTATACACATTCGTTTATTCATTCATTCATTCACGGACGCACGCACGCACGCATGCATATACATCCACGTAGAATTCTAACGCAAATCATATCCATGTATTTGCTTTGCACATACAAATATTTACAAATATTTACACGTACGAGTAATCATCGATAAGAAGCGTACCGATCTTAATCGATAATCCATTGATTTGTTTGATATATTTATCAGTTTCCTTTTTTTTGTCATTTATAAAGTTTGTCATGTAAGATTATTTTTATGTACGCAAGATCAAACACACAGCAGTGTTTCACTAATCTTCAGGAAACCAAGTTAGTTGTCACAATGATGATTATTGTCATCATCATCATCATCATCATCATCATCATCATAATCGTATGTTAACGTTTAGGTGAACAATACGTTATTTACTGAATAGAAATGTTCGAGGGTTAATGCTCGATGTATAAATCCGTCAGTAACGATTAAGAACGTTTAGAATTTGTTCTCGCGTGAATGACAAAGATGTCTTTTAGCCGAAACAGGTGTAATAGTTCCCAGTGGACTCCTGAACTACTCGATTAGGTTCAAAAGAGTCTACACATTGGGGAAACATAATTCGCCTTTGATAAAAATTTCGAGGGCAGGACAGCAGCAGCAGCAGCAGCATTCGTCTCATAATCGGGATTTGTCGGATGACATTTTATTCCTAAATCTGAGATGAATTTTTTTTTTCTTTTTTTCTACAAGATCGTTTGTCGGGGATATATCTTATCTGTTCTTTTTTTTTCTTTTAGATTGAACGATTAGGATTAATCGTCAAAGAAGTGTATTACTTTTTTTTTGTTGTTGCTGTTACTTCAGGTCAGTCTCAGGTAGACGTGGTGCATTTTCTTTTCACTTAGATGGTTGAGCCAAATGAGCGATGTCTCCGGCGTAACAGGGAGGAGCCAGCATCAATTGGCATTGAGCTTTCCTTGGATAAGGAATGTTCTCACTATGTCACAACATTTTAGTGAGATAACTAGATGAATTTGGTGGCGGCAGAAGGAACGGGCTAACGAAGGAACGTCCATCGGGTGGTTGATGCATCGACGAGTAACCCGGTTGTTGGTTATGGCTTTGACTGGAAGTATCGAGTCCAGCTAATACGGGTAATCCGGTATCGTGTAATTTTCTCATGTGTTTCTTTAAATCAAAATTCCTACAAAATCCTTTTCCACATATTTTACATGAGAATGGTTTCTTATCGTTGTGCGTATGCATGTGAAAAGTAAGATTGTAAATCTGATGGAATGCTTTGTTGCAGACGGTACACTTGTAAGCTTTCTCGTCGTTATGCGTCAACCTGTGATTCTTGTAATTTCCTTTCTGATGAAATCCCTTGCCGCAGACTTCGCATCTGTACGGTTTGTAATTCGTGTGTATGCGTAAGTGAGTATTCAATGTTGAACTTCTGTTAAACGCTTTACCACAGGTACCACATTTGTGTGGTTTTTCAGCGGTGTGAATGATCTTATGCCTGCACAAAGTACTGGCCTGACGAAATCCTTTTCCGCATATCTTGCATACGAATGGCCGTGCTCCCGTGTGTACCGGCATGTGCCGTGTAAGATTGTAATGAGCGTTGAAAACTTTACCGCACTCAGGACAGGTGAAGGTTTTTTGTTTGTTCGTACCATTGATCTCGTTACGAGGAGTAGGACTTTTCTTTCCGCGTTGACTTTCCGGTGAGATCGTCATTAGACTTAGCCTCGATGAAATGGAAGTGTCTTGAACGGAACCTTTTTTACCGCGTTGATTTTCCGTCATCAGACTAAACCTCGAGGAAACGTAAGTGTCTTGAACCGAACTCGGTGGTGGCGAGGTTTGGGCTACGCTCGGCGTAGTCTCTGGCGAACCTGGAAAGGCCCTTAACAATGGACTCGGAGTATAGTAGAGGAGGGGATAAAGATTTTGATGCCTCAATGTTGGCACGTATTTTTTGAACGCAGATTCCAAATGAGCAGAGTAACGTTGGCTTAGAGCTGGGAAGTGGGATGCCTGATGAAGGATGCCAGCCGGAGTGGTTGTAGGTGTTGCGGTAGTCGTCGACGGGGGTGGTGGGACCACCGCTGCTTGAACCGTTTGAGCTGCGTTCGCTTGTTCGGTCAAACGTTTGTCCGGTTCCATGATCTTCGCTATGGAGAAGGTCAAGTTCCGAGAGGATGGTGGCGAGCTCACCTTCTCCGGTGGTAGACTGGTCGGGGTCTCCGTCGCCATCGTGTTGCCCGTTGAGAATGGTTGCATGATACGCCTGAAACGTTAATAAATAACGATTCGTTAAATCGAACCTTTAAAAAGTCTCTAATCGATCATAGGAATATCCGAAATTACAATAGGAAGCCACGTTTCGTCAGCTAATTCAACTAGTGTTTCTCGAGCGAGGACGTACTGAAGTGTGCCAGCCATTGATGGTCGAGTAAATAGAAGAGAGAGAGAGAGAGAGAGAGAGAGAGAGAGAGAGAGAGAGAGAGAGAGAGAGAGAGANGAGAGAGAGAGAGAGAGAGAGAGGGAGAGAAAGAGAGATGGGAATAGCGAAATCACGACGATCAATTAGATGACTTCGAGGATCGTCGTTTATTATTCGTGCGATTTACCCTATGCAGCCAACCAGCCATCCAGTCATCCAGCCAGCCAGCCAGCCAGCCAGCCAGCCAGCCAGCACGGACCCGTTTGTGAAAGCACATGCGCGCGTGCGCATGCTTACTAGCACAAATATAATATATCTACATATACAGACGTATTACCAGCATAGCCCACATGTCGGCGAATCCGAGTGAAACATGTGGTACCGCTATTATATCCACTCAATTGGCCCTCGTGTTGACATAAAAAAAAGAACGCTCCGCATTGAACGATGGGGGCTGGCAAACGTCGAGCAGCTTTGCGTCACAAAGGAATCCTCGCGGTAGTACTACGTTGTTTCGCACTCTACGTTGCCTTTAGTATTTACGCGTCTCATGATAGAAGACATTACTTAAACGTTCCTATAAATTCCTTTTGTCTATTTTTCTGATTTGTTCGATTTTTATTCATCATGCTCTTCCGTATTTTCATATCCCAAAGAAAATTGACAGTTCAAACTATTTATTCTAAGAATTCCGTATATGAAGCTGTATAAATGCAAGGCTAACCAAGCCATTGAGTATGTGAATCGTTAGAAAGGATAAAGGATGATGGGAGAAGGGGTATGAATGGCAACGTCTGAATGAGACGCGAAATGGTCAGCACAGTTGAAGAGCAAGCTTTCCAAGAGCAAGGTTTGCACATCGAAAAGTAGAAATGTTTGCTCCCTCGGATGACGAGTTACGTTTAGACTTGGAATGACGGCTTGAATTGGTTCGGGTTCTTCTTCTCATCTACCTTCCCATGATATAGTCGGTGCTGCTTTTGCGACTCTGTGACTACTGTTTAATCTTCAATACGAAATTTATGATAGAGGGTAGTCGAGCGTGTAAGAGAGCATGCTGGAAATACCGGAGACTTATTCATCCGACTAGGATGAATTCACTTCCCCCTTTTTTATCATCGAACTTTCATACAGAGATAGGTACGAAATAAAGCTTGTTAGATAATGAAGATGCTATTTTGAAGAGTATATTTTGATAAATGCATATTTTTCAATAAAAATTAATTGTTAGGACAAAAACGAAATGGTAACCAATTTTTGATCATAATTGCGGACTTCGATGAAAGATTAGACGATGTTCTAATATACCAAAGTAACAAATCCGAAACTAATCTGTAAAGGTTCGAATTCTCGCCATCTTCGTGAGAGTGGTGCGACTTTGGAGAAAGCAGGAAACTGGTGTCAGGGTGGAATGCGACGGGTATGACCCTTCGTCAAGCCCCGCCCATTTGCCGGGTACCTACCTTCGATTGTCCCTGGAGGCAAAGGCAGCCCTAATAACCGTGGGGGTCGATAAGTGGAAAAGCGAGCCCGCTGTGAGAGAGACGAGAGAGAGAGAGAGAGATTTGAGGAGGGAAAACGGCTACCTCGCACCCCCGAAACGCCCCTATGACCTATAGCCAAAAAGAGAGAGAGAGAAAGAGAGGGAATACATCGTTGGCCGCCATGGAACGATGAACCACCACTGTCCAAAATTTACCACCAACAAAGCTCACGATTATTCCTTACCCCATACCCCTCTTTCCTGTTTTTATTCTTTTTTTTTTGCAACGGATAAAACTTTGACACATGTCTTTTTTTTCTCTCTTTCTTTCATTCTTCCCCTTCAGAACTTTTGTTATATTCGACATTTTTCAACAATTACCTAAACTTCCTGTGCATCTTTTCTTTCAACGTCAACTTTTGTCACAATTTCTACACAATCGTGTTCCTATTGCAATGAAAAATTCCTACCTTTTTGTCTAATGCTGTTATACCATTCTTTAGACTAAAAACGTACCCTCAATTATTGAAACTAATAAACATATCTATACATTAGCATTTGCATTAGGTTTTAAATACAATTTCAGTGGAAACTTTGAGCTTGGTAGTCTGGGACCGAAAGCTATGCTCTTTCTATAGGTATAGTTATTCTGTTTCCGTCTGTGGTCGTCGTCCTCTTCTTCGTTTCTATGTGTATGTGTATATATATATATATATATACTTTTGTATGTGAGAAAGAAAGAAAGAAAGAAAGAAAGAAAGAAAGAAAGAAAGAGAGAAGAGCAAAAAGCACACAGGGTAAAGCCGCAGAAGGTTGGTAATGGTGGGGTAGAACGATAGACGATTGGCTAGCGCAGTTATCGGTCGTGCGAACCTTCAGGGTGGGATGAGGAAAGGCGGGAGAGGGAGGGGGCGGAAGGTGGTGGTAACTAAAGGAGTCATGGTGGGGGTTGGCATTGTTACAGTGCTTAACGAACGGCCGACGTAATCAGTATCGCTCCCCGTTCTCGCGGTACGCAGCCACCCAGCAATTCTACCAATTTATTTCAATCTCGGCGAAAGCATGGCCGACCATGGCTGCTCGAGCAGGGACCATTTTGTTTTCTTAATTCGAACCGATTCGATCGTGCGACCCACGCGACCGACTTTATCCATTTGCTATTCGAAACGATTGTTAATATTGTTCTTTTCTTTTTTTCTTATTTCGATTCATTGCAATTTAAAATTGGACCTTTATTATAATTGGGGTTGGAAATGATTGTAATGATTTTTTAATGGTGCGATAAATTTATTACCATTTGCAGGTGAATTAATTATTTTGATGAAATACATGTATCATGTAATGTGTGTTTAAGATATTGAGGTATATATTTAAGGTTTCATAAAATAAAATTAATATTTTTTTTCCAGTACCTACCCCTATCTAAGGTATACCCTAATAGCTAGGGGTAAGAAATATTGTAATTTGTTGTTGCATTCATTAAGAAACTCGTGAGAGTGCAATCCTAGTAATTTAGTATATTGAATTATTTTGAGAATACAACTGTAGATATTTGTTAATAGTAAAGATTTTCTAAATAAATAAAATAGACAATGTCGATAATATCATCTATTTGAACGTATCTTTTATGATTGGCATAAAATGTACAAAGTTTACCAAGATCGTTACAAATTCAATCAGCTTCGATAAACTATTAAAGGATTATTCGTGGGATTAGGTAGAAACGTTAAAGAAAATCGAAGAACCTCGAAGGAACTTGAAATGGCTTTGCAAATTTACTCGTCACGTTGCCAACTCGCTAATTACCTCTCCTCCCCGTACCCTATCCTCATCCAAACGACAGACACTTCATTCTCTTAGTCCATTTATTTCTGATCGGATTCGAGAATAATTGAAAGTATCGAACGATTGAAATAGAAAAAGAAACTCTTTGATCGTTTATCAATATTAGTTACCTCAAATGGTTCATTTGAACAATTGAAACGATTGTAAACGAAGAATATTTGTTTTTAGAAATGACGAGTTTGTATTAAATGATAATAATTATTCGAAAAGTATATGATAAAAAAGAAACAGTAATTTCTATCTCCTTGTAGAATATTTCGAATGAAGAGAACCAAGAGGGATGGTTTGTTAAAGGATTTGCGTGTACAGGGCGCATCAATCATGGTTACCTCTTACGTGTGTATCTCGGCATGCGTTTGGACGCCTATCGCTTTTCTCCCTTAAGTGGTGATAAGGAAAATAAGCCACACTGGTGAATACTAACTTCCTACGTTGTTGAATTTTTTTCCTGATTTTTTATGGGTGGGGGGGTTTTAAAGTTCGACAAATTTACTCTATTTGTATTTGTATAAATTAAGCATGGAACTTTAAAAGCATCTTTATCGACAATTGAAACATTTGCAAAATAAGAAAAATATTATTGTATTTGTTTATTAATGATAATCAATTATTAATATACCCCAAAATTTATGTATCTTCGATATTTTAATTTGTATATTTTAATTTTGCCGCGTATTTTAATTTGTGACGTAAATGTGTTAAACATTGACGGTGAAAAAAAGAAAAAAAAAATTGTTGAGATTTTCATTAAAATTGAGAAACGTTTTTGTTAACATTTTCCTTATGATTTACGATCGATTTGTCAAGATAAAAATATTTAACACGTCGATCAGAGGTAATAGCAAAAAGATAGACGTTTAGGATGTCCGACATTGTCCTCGTTTCTTGATCAGCCCTATTAGCCTTGCCCCCGGCATTGTTCCATCACCGACAATCGGCCTTTCGTGATACGTCGTGTGAATGCTTGACATATAATTAGCATTTGGGGTAAGGAAAGCCTCGACTGAGGATGACGGCAGACACAATACACAGCCCCACTTGCTTTTCCTCGGTCCCATAACTCGACCATGTCGCATTAACCTCCTCCAGTTGACGCATTTCCTTCGATCAACGAATAATACTTAAATACTTTGACATTGATGCGTGATTCCTGATCATTCTTTAGTTGGAATTAATATCGAAATAAATAAAATAGAGTAATTCATTGATTTGTTTCAACTATCGCAATGTTTTTTTTACAATTTTTATTCGGAGATTAAATATTTGATATTTTCTTTGTTAAGTTTTATTTATAGCTTGTTTAGAATAATAAATAAAATATTGTATTTATACATAAACAACAAATTGCAAAGCAGTCATTTGAATGGGTTTGATTTTCTTTTTTAAATGACGTTTTAAATAAAGTCGAAAGTGAAGGGGAAATATTGTATGATATTTAATTGAAGGTGCAATGAAGGGTAAAATTGAAGAGTCTGAGAAATGGTAGTCAGAGAAGCTCGGCTAACAACAACGAGCA